TGACATAGAGCTTGGTAAGCGTGTCCTGCCAGCCGGCCAACCTCGCCAGCTGCTTCACCATGTCCTGCTGTGCGTAGATCAAGTGGAAGAGCTGCGAGAGGAAGCAGGGGGGGAGACCTGATGATGTTGCCCCGGCTCCTGGCCGCCTCTCGGGGGTTTGGTCCCTCCAAGGGGCAGGATGTTCGGGCTGGCTGCCGATGGTCCTGAGATCTTGGACCTCCCATAACCGTCAAAGGGTGCTGTGGCTGCACCACCTCCATGCTGGTATGTCCACGTGCCAACAGGCCTGTGCATGAGGTGTTACCACCATCCCCATGGTCCCCACGTTTGGGCATGGCTGGGTGCCCAGGGAGCTCAGCCCCAGGGTGACCGCTTGGTCACAGCCCCTTGCACCCAAGGTCCTGCTCACCTTGCGGCAGATATCAAGCCGGACGGTCAGCTCGGTCCGGTGGGACAGGTAAACCACGGCCACCAGGTCCTTGTAGTTGGGAGGGTCTATGGACAAGGAGAGACAGTACAGTGGTGGGACACCTCCTTCTGTCCCCAAAAGCCAGCAAAGACCCCCCAGTCCCAAGACCGACTGAGCCTCATGGGAAGCCACCAGCGATGACCCCATGCCACGTGTTTGGGATGGGTGGCCAAGGCCAGCCTGGTTTTGGCAGGGGACGCGGTACCTGCCCCGAGGACCTGCTCTGAGAGGCAGCGGAAAAGCAGCATGGAGCCGGGCACGTCGCTAAGGCAGGTGATGAGTCCCTGATACCCGATGTCCTTCAGCTTCAGGCGGTTCTTGCTACGCTCGGGGACCTTCTCATACTTCAGCATCTTGTAGAGAACCTGGAGAGGCAGAGAGGGGTGGCCACCCTGCTGCGGCAAAGCCCCGGCTCCTGGGGATGGCAAGAGGCTGGCGCTGGGGACCTGCCTTACCTTGAAGACCCTCTCCCGCACTTCATCTGAGAACTTCTTCTGCACCAGCAGTGAGAAGAGAATCTCCACGTGGCCTGGCTCAAAGAGGAAGGCGAAGAGCTGCTCCTGGGCAGGCGAGCCCTTCAGCAGGCTGTGGATCACCTCCAGCGCCCCACAGACCTGCAGGACACAGGGCTGGTTGTCCACTGCCTTCCACGTGCCCCACCAGGACCTCAGCAGCTTCTCCTCACCCATTGCCAAGTGCTGGGCCAGCCCACGGCACACCGAGGTGTTGGGGGACCCAGGTGGCCGGGTGCCATACCTGCTGCTCGTCCTGTGCCCCGGCCAGGTAGCTCAGCAAGCTGTGCATCTCCTCCCCAGAGAAGCTCCTACAGAAGAAATCCTTCACCAGACTGAAGAGGGATGTCTGCACTGTCTTGATGTCATCGGTGGCTGTAGTCTTCTCCCTGGAGGTGCTGATGGACAGACATACATGGGCATTCCCTCTGGGGACATGAACAGCCACCCTCCTGCCCCTTGTCACCCATTGATAGCACGATCCCAAATCCCACCACAGAGCCTGAGGAGCTCCAGGGCAGCCTGGTGTGGACATGCCTTCTGGTCAACCCTGCCCACTGGGAAATGTCAACCCAACACATTTGGGTCTCCGCAGGGCGTGAGCATCCCCAGTGCCACGGGCGTGCAGAAATGCACTGGGTCAGCCAAGAAGAAGTCATCAGCTCGTTGCAGAAACCACCATGCTCTTGGTGGCGGTGGACTTTGGGGCTGAGCAGTTGCAAGTCTGGATGGAGACTTGGGGATGGGACATGGCTATGGGGAGTGGAAGGTCCTGAACCCTCCACCACGCTCCTGCACCGGGAGCTTATCCCATGAGGTGCCTACAGGGGGGGATATTGCCCCAAGCAAAGGGCGTTTACCCCAAACCACAGCTCTGAGGGGTGAAGCCCAGCGCCACGTCACCATTCAGGGGTCCAGGCTACAAGCCGCAGCTCACCCGTAGTACGTCCGGATGGAGTCGAGGATGTACTGCACCCCGTACTTCTTGCGGATGCGCTGCTTGTGGTCCTTGACGACGTTGGCCAGATACTGGATGTGACCTGCAGGGAGAAGGTCTGAGTGGCCGTGGAGGTTGGTTGGGATGGAGAACACCCCCAAGTACCCCCAGTTCCCACCTAAGCGGACAGCAAAGTCGCTGTTGCTCCAGATGTGGAAGTCAAAGAGGAGATGCTGGTAGAGGAGGTGCAGCAGGAGCCCGCTGCCCTCAGAGGCCACCTGCTCCATGAGGATCTGCGAGGCCATCAACGTGCTCATGTCCAGCAGCGGACCGGAGACCTGCCATGGGCGAGACGGGAGGCTTGCAGCCCCGGCGTCCTCCTTGGGGAACAGCCTTGAGGACTGTGGGATGGAGCCTTTGATAGCCCCTCTCACCTTCTGCAGCAGTGCCCCGATGATGGCCGGCCCGTGGCACTGCACCAGGCTCTCCTGGTTCACCGGGTGGTTCTGGATGAAGTTCTTCACCAGCAGCAGGAAGGCGGCCACGCTGTTCCTCTCCAGCCTGCTCTCTGCAAGGCACAGGGCAGAGCCCCACCAGTAGCCGTGAGCCGGGTGCCCACCCAAACACCTTCCTACAGCGCTGCCTGCATCTGCCTGCAAAGGGCATCCTGGAGACCCCACCGTCAACTTTTCTCTGCAAACTTTTCCCCTATTTCCCCAAATTTAAGCCAGTGAAAAACTCCGCTGCTCTGAGCTTCTCGGAAATAAGCAGCTGGGTATCGAAAGAAAGCTCGTTTCACCTATGCAGGAGAAGGCTCCTTCATGAACCCAGCCCTACTACAAGACACCAGAGACTCCACACAAAGGCAAGCCAGATGTAAGCAGGCTGAAGCTACCCTCATCTTCCCAGAACTGCTTGTTTATGACTAATTGGGTCATAACAACATTAAAAGACGTCAACGGTTTCTCCGGTTTCTCCATTTCCCTGTAACTCTTGGTGCCCCAGGCAAGACTTCTCCGGCCCGTGGTAGACACCAGCCCGGTACAGGCAGCGAGGTTACCCCCAGCCACCCGAGCAGGATGGCTCCCACTCCACATCCCCTGAGGTCCTCACCTGAGGACTTGCCCAACGGGATGAGCATGCCCTGGGCATT